ATTTATTGAATTCTCCTAGAATTTTCTAATAAAAATTTAATTAAAAATTAATTTCAGTTTAAGTTTTAGATATTAATTGAATTTTAAAAAGTTACTAATAATTGTAAATTTTAGAAATAATTGAATTGAATGTAAAGGTTTCAAATTAAAATCTTTGAAAATTTAAATGTTTCTTACATTTAATTGAAAATTCTATGGAACTAATTTTTTTCGTAAAGATTAATCGAAATTTTTCAAAATTATTTCAAGTTTTTAATTTCTAATGTATATTTAATTGAAAAATTTCCGAATAATTGTAATTTCGTAAAATTGAATTGTAAACAAATAAATTTGAAAATTCTCAAAGGACTTTTTGAAAAATTATCAAAAATAATTGATTTAAAGAAAAATTTTAGTTAAAAATTGTTGAAAATAATAACTGAATTGATATGATGAAAATAATTTTGATAAATTTATAGTAACAATATTCTTATAATATAAAATAATTATTTTATCACTCGGTCATCTTTAATTTTTATAAAACATGAAAATATTCTTATAAGTTATTAAATTTCAAAAGGTATGAATTAGAAATTTTGAAAATCTTAGTTTCCATGGAAAAATAATATTGATAAAATATTTATTTCTAATTGAAGTTATTGATGATTTGGAATAATTTGGCAATTAAGAAAATTCTTAAATAATTGTAATACAACATTATTTTGAGTATCTAATCATTTTTAGAGTGAATCAGAATATTCTTTAGGGTCAGGGATAGAATGAAAATTTCGTCTGGAAATCAGGGAAAAACAAAATAAAATTTTTTTGGCAAACCTGATATTTTTTTATACCTTGTCAGCGGCAGTGTCCTATGTAAATAAAAAGAAACTGTTTTCTTCCGTATCAATTACAGTATTCGTCTCCTCACTTGTAGTCTCCATCTCCTCAGTGGCACTCTTGTTTCCATCATCCATTTCAGAGCCATCATCATCCTCATCAGTGCCATTGTAATTATGTAAAATCATATTGAATGAAGAAGTCAGCGGTAGTGCTTTATTTTTTGAGGCGGAATCCATTTCTTTATTTTTTTCAAGATTTTTTGAAGCAGACGCTACTATAATTTCTTCTTCAAAAGTCGAGCTTGATGCAATTGCTTCGAAATTCGAAAATTGGACATTATGTGAGTCTTCACCTTGGCTTTCTTTAGGATTGAGAATCAGCTGAAATAAAATTTTTAATCTTACTCGTTTCAATTTGATTAAAACATCATTTAATTCCGCGTTTAAATATAGCGCCGTTTGTATTTTAGTTAGAACTAAATTGGAATCTTTCGTAGTTGATTGACTCTGTAAACAAATAAATTGTAATTATAATATATGTAAAATACATTAAATAATTAAATTCTTGAACTGAATTTATTATTTTAGTAGAATAATTGTTTAATTCTTATGTACATATTTCAAATTTACCTCACTATCAGAGAACGTATCGGCAGTTAGTTTACGTTTTTTTGATTGAATTTTCCTTCCTGCCTCCTTCAACTTTTGGTTTTGCAGTTTTCTCAATTCTTTTTCGTCAGCGAAAGAAAATTTTATTGTTAGTATATTCTGATTTTCATTTTTTTAAACTATATTTAAATTGTTTCATCGTAAATTATTAATTAATAAAAATTTAACATAACATTATTTTCAAATTGAACCTTTAGAAATTGTAATAATTATATTATTAATATAATATAATAATAATGAAGAGCATTTGATGAAATTTTTAAGTTCTCTAAATTTTCCAAACATAAGTTGGTCAAAATTTTTTGCTGATATTATTTTAGAACATAAATTTATCAAATTTTTATTTTATTAAAATTGAAAATAATGAAAATCAAGACCATTGAAATATTAGTTAATAAAAACAAAGACAAAAGTATATACTAACTTGACATTCCAATTATAATGCCTTTATATTTTTTTTAACAACTGCTCCTTCTGGCCAAAAATATTCTATTGTCATCCCACATCGCAGTTGCGGGTTTTTTGGGTCGAATATAATCGACGTTTTTTCGATGATCGTAAAACAACGGTCTCCCTCAATTAAGACTAAATCTTCATCCATTTTTTAAAAACTTTCTTACTGTTATAGACGAAATGTCAAGATGAAAATATCCAGCTTTTGTTTTAATTACTATTTTGTTTTAAAATTCTAACATATATATATAAACTGCAATCTAGAAACTAACTTTTCGTCACAATGCGCGAAATTCAATTTTTAATGTCATTTTATTTTTGATTTTGTTTAAATAATTCTTCTTGAAAAAAAAAATTTTTACTTTCTGTTAAATTTGAAAATTTTTAAATATCATTAATTTACCTAAATAAAAAAATAAAAAATATTGTTTGACGAGACGAATTTTTTTATTGGAAAGAATGTTATTTTAATTGCAAGACGAATTACTGATATATTTGAAACAAATTAAAATTATTTTTTAAAACATTTTATTTAAATTTTAATTAACAACAGATTAAAAAAATTTCCATGTTTCTATACATTTGCTATATTTATATTATTAGATATAGTTAACCTAAGAGTGAATACTGGATCAAATATAGCTATTATTTTATAAAATTATTATTGTGTACTTAGAATATTTTTCTTTGACAAGTAGTTTTGAATATTAACTTAAACCACCCATATCTTTTTATTTAATTTTACAAAGAAGATAAAAATAAATAAGGAATTTAATGTGTAATAGATGCTAATTTTTAAAATTTTTTAGGAATAATTAACTTTAAATAAATACGTGATTTGAACTAGAATAAATACTAAAATTTATCAAAAATTGAAATCAAAACATTTTAAAATATCTCTTCAGAATTTTTACACTACTTGTTATCAATGTCATTTTTATTTTCTTTGTAAATTGTATTTCAAAAGAAAGAAACTTTGCTAAAGTATTAAAAACTATCAAATTAAATGACGTCGGTGAATCTTTGTGCGTACTTTTTACCTAATTACATTAATTTCTAAATAAAATCCAGTTTTATATTTTAATTTACGATTACAATCAATTTCTTTGATTAAAATGTTATTTTAATCAACCAATGTACAATTTATCGGTACATTATTCGTTGGTGTACATTGATTTAGAATTTTTTTTAGCAAATTACTTTTAAAAGATATTAAATCCATAGAATGTTTTTTTAAATTCGACAGACTAAAAAAACATTTATGATCAATTATATTCTCGATCGTCAACATTACTGAATGCTCTAAATAAATATTTTCAACATTTTGTCTATCCCTTCAATAACGAGTAATTAACTCACGAAGCTACAAATAGTTAAGATTAAAATCTTTTGAAATTGTGTATTAAATAAATAATTAATTACTATTAACAAATAAGTCATAATTGAATAAAGTCTCTCTTTTATATCAGAAACGAGGAACTATTTACAATGAGAGACTTTATTTTTTTCCATATTGTTAAGAAAGATGCAAATGTAGTTTTCAACTCTCAGTATTTTTGACTGTATTTGTTTTACAGGAATAACATGGATGCAATAAGAGTCACGGACGTGTTTAATATTTCGATTCAAGTTAAATCCGAGTTCTCGATTTTTAATTTCCTGACTAATATCGTGAGACACTAGGAGTTGACGCAATACTGCATAAAGATTATTTTCCAATTTAAAAAAAAATTTGATAAGACCAAAGAAAACCTTCCCTCCTTCTTTCCACTGCACGTGGAAATTTCCACGCTTTTTTTGACAAGTATACAATTCAGAAGTGAAAATTTCGTCGTTTATTTTGCAACGTTTAAAAATTTGAAAAGCTGCTTCATGCAATTGTTCTAATGAAAAATTTGTCGTCTTACATATAACTTTTAGGTCTGTCTCTGACATTTCGTGTGCGGTTGGTGGACCATGTGTTCGGCATTCGATATCGTTTATTGGTATTTCTGGATGTAAAAGATATTTTATAGTACGATAAGCTTGGGTAATTTTAATAGTATTTGATAACTCTAAGTCAACTTTATTAGATCCATGAATCATTTTAATGAGTTCACCATTTTGGTCTTCGGACGTAAAGGCAGACCATACCCACAGTGGTCCCCACATTCTTACATGCTGTGCGAAATGTAACAAACAGTGTACATTAAATGTACATTTCTTACGACCATACAAACTTTCGAAATCGATTACAAAATTATTTAATAAGGTCTCCGCTAAATCCACCTCTGTTAAGGTAACATTTTCTGATGTTAATAAATGAATCGCTCGAATAAACAATAAGAAATGATCATAATGTTCTTCATTTAGACGATTTTTTAATACTATGGGTCTGTAATATAATAGAAATTCTCTAAGTTCAGAAGCTTTCCAGTCGCTAAGTTGATTTAATCTTCTAGGAGTGCGCGTAATATTATCTGGCAGTGTTATTGACTCCAATATCTGATCAATAGCATCTCGATACTCTTTAGACAAATAATAGTCTTTGTTGTGGCTGCTAGAATTGCACCATAAACTTAAAAACGTATGCATCGTGCCGAGTAGAGCAGAGTGCATATAGTCAGGGTGTAGCCCTTTTGACCTATCAAAGTGAGGAATATTGGAAAGAACAGATCTGCCTTTAACACCTTTGAAATGTTTCAAATTTTCGTATCTTTCGACAATTTCAGTTTGTCTTTCCATACGAGCAGCAGACCTTAAAGGAGATTTATCCGGTTCCATTGGAAAAACCCAATTCGTCCCGGCTCCTACTTCACTACTTTCCCCTTTGGCTTCGCAACTTCCACAACTACACTCCCCGTTATATTGCATAACGTTCTGAAGAGCTGCTCTAGCCGGAGCATCTAAAACTGCAATCGGAGCAATTACTTTGCTTGTAATTGTATTATTTAAGGCCTGGTTGTGCCACTGAAAACCATTTGTGAACAAATTTTCTAAAGCGGTTGCAAAAGGTTGTAGAAAGGAGTTCATATCTGGTTTTTTACTGCAACGATTTGAATAAAAACTTCCACATACAAACTAAAAGCTCCTCCTAAATTTTGGCTCTATATTTGCAATCTGCGCATACACTGGCCATATTTGACTTTTCCCACTTTTAGAGACTTGAGCTCCATCGGTGTACCAAATTAAACACAAGTCATATGGTCCAGGTATAACAGTAGACTTTAAACGAATAAATTCAGACCCAGACGTTAAATCATACAATGTCTGTTGATTTCTTGTCGCGCACTTAATTTGAAATGCATCTATCAAACTACTAAGGCCTCTCATTTCAAATGCACTTCGCAATTGTGCTTCCAGATCGAACTCTAAAAAGAAACTATTTACATCCCTATTATTACAACGCAGACAATTTCCTACTTGCATTTCATCCCATTTACCCAGGTACTTATAACATTTGGAACAAATTCTGTGTTTTGTAGAAAAATTTTCTTGCGAATGAGGCAAGACCATTTCGATTAATTTTAATAATTTATATTTAGTTTTCGGAACTGTGTGTTCATCTGGTAAGAATAAATTTATAGTAGTCAACATATCTTCTAATGCTTTTTTAGTCAAACGATTTTCGACGTACACTCGTAGTAGTTGGCATAACGCATCGCCGCCACTCATAGACGCTTGCGAATAAATTGGCGCATCAAACCAGTCTGTTCTGGTTTCATCATCATTATCGTCATTATCATATGATGTTGATGTAGATGAATCTGATACAGAAAATGATTCGGAAGAAGTTGACATAAGGACATCGACTGAATCATCTGACATCATTTGGTTTTGTAATGGAGAAGAAGAATAATTTTCAGAGTTTCTTATTGAAAGTGAAGAGGTCGTTTCAACATGGGCCAAAGAAGATGTAGAAGAAAAAGCTGCACCAGACAATGTTGATGAGTGAGAAGTAGAAGGAAGCAATGATTCACTTGACATATCTTCATTTTCTAATGGAGAGGTCGTTTCAGCATGCGTCAAAGAAGATGTTGAAGAAGAAGCTGCATCTGACATTGTTTCTTGGTCGTTGTTTTCACTATTAGAACTCTAAAGTGATATAAATGATTAGAACATAAATAATATATATAGAATATTGTAAAAAACTGACAATTAAAATAAATATATTAAAATGTTACCATGATTAGTTTTTCTATTGATTATCACAAAGTTCCTGTCGTTCTGTATGCGTTTTGAAATATCTTTTAAGATGTCGTCTGTATTAACACTAACCTGAAAAATAATTTTAATAAAGTTACCATCTATGGTATCTAATATCATGTGTAAATACCATTAACTACAACTGCCACTGTACTATTGTACTATTGTATCGTATTACTATTGTAGATTGTTATTGTTATCAGACATTTCACAAGTGCAGGGCTCGGATAAATAAAATTTCCGAAAAAGTCGAAAAAAGTCGCATGAAATCTTAGAAAAAATAAAAAAACGACAAAAAGAAAACACAAAATTGTAAAAAAATCTCACTTCTCGACAACAGATACATTAATATCAAACCATCCGGAATAAAATTTTTTAAAAATTAATAAAATTCATAGCAAAATTTTAATTATGTATTATTAACATTTTTTAAAAAATTCTCTTTAAAATGTTAATTATTTTTATAAATAATAAAATTCTTCTACGAAATTCAATTATTTAAAAAAAAATTTTATAAAATTCTTCTCTAAAATTCAATTATTTTTAAAAGTAATAAAATTCTTCGCAGAAATTCAATTATTTTCAAAATTTTATAAATAATAAAATTCATCATAAAAATTTCATTATTTTCAAAAGTTCTGATAAAATTCTTTGCAAAATTCAATTATCTTAAAAAGTAAGAAAATTCTTTGCAGAAATTTAATTATTTTCAAAATTTTTTTTTAAATTCTCCTCAAAACTTCAATTATGTTTATAAATATCAAAATTCTTCTGCAAAATTCAATTTCTTTTAAACATTTTAAAAAAAATCTGTTCAAAATTTTAATTATCTTTGTGAATAATAAAATTCTTCTCTGAAATTCAATTACTTGCAAAAATTTTTAAAAAATTCTTGTTAAAATTTCAATTATCTTTATAAATCTTTGAAAAATTCAATTATCTTCAAAAAGTAAGAAAATTCTTGGCAGAAATTAAATTATTTTCATATTTTTTAAAAATTCTCCTCAAAATTTCAATTATCTTTGTAAATATCAAAATTATTCTGCAAAATTCAATTACTTACTAATGTTTATAACAATTTTTTATAAGTTGTTTAATTTCAAAAAGGTTTGAATTTGAATCTTTTGAAGAATTTTATTTCCTATGGAAAAATAATAATGAAATATTTATTTAAAAAAGAAGTTATTGATGTTTTCGAAAAATTTGTAAATAAATGTAACAGATCATTTTTTTTACTAAAACTTTTTCCTTCAATTTTCTAAAAATTTTAAAAGTTTTACTTTCTAATTGACAAATATAGAATTTATAAACATTTTTTTAAATTAATTTTTAAAAAACTTTAAATTTGATTAAAGCAATTGTAATTAAGAAATAGAAATGATGCAAATTGTTTCCTTATGAAAATTGAGAATTTCCTACAAAAATATTAAGAAACGAGATAATATGTTGTTTTTTTCCCTAAAGAGAAGAATGATTTTGTGAACAATATTGTTTACAAAAAAAGATTTCTGCCATTTACAATTAAGGTCAAAAAGTAATTTAAAAATTTAAAAAAAGTCGATAAGTCGCATTTTACTAAAAAAAATCTCGAAAAAGTCGATTAGTCTCATTTTTTCACAAAAAAGTTGAAAAAAGTCACATTTCCTTAGAAAAGTCGAAAAAAGCGAAAAAGTCGCACAATCCGAGCCTTGCAAGTGTGCAATTAGTACCTATAGTTGTTTATAATAATGTATTTAAGGAAAGAGTAAGGTCTTAAAATTTTTTTATTGAATTTTTAAAAAAAAATTTTTAAATGAATGCATAATATCTCCAGAATATTGTGCTAAAATTTTAAGTCAATCGTAGCAAAATTAACGGAGTTATGAGCATTTCAGTTCCGTTGGTCTAGACTTCAGAATTCATGTTTTTTATTAAATAATCATTTGTAATTTGTTTGTTTTTAAATTTAAAATATTTCCCGATACACCATTTGAAATAGTGATTCCTGAGCCGTAAGAAATGTTCTATTGCCAAGCTTTTAAATTGCGTTTTAACGTGTAAAAATAATGCTAAAGTCAAGTATTGTGCATTTGATCCATAAAGATTAAAGCGTTTTTCAGAAAATTGTTATTTTTAAAGTCCGTGTACGCGATAACTCAAAATCTACTTGACCTATCGTTCTGCAATTTTACAGAGTGCTTCTTCACATAATTCCTCAGGTATCCCTGGGGGTAGGGGGACACTTTTCCCAAAACAAGTTTCCCAACGATTTTTTTTCGCAAAAAAATGTTCCCAAATTCTTTTCCCAAACATATAAAAATTGTGTCATAGGAATTATTCATGTTCGAAAACAAGAAATTCAAATTTTGTTTTTCTATTTGTTCTTGTAACCACCTTTATTCGTTTTTCAGTTCCGCACTTAAAATTGTGGTTACCCTTTTTGGAAGATTGTCAAAATTCGTAGTAATTTATAAATAAAATTGTTTATTATATGTGAACAAAGTAGAATTAATTAAATCTAGTTTTCAAAAAAAAGGTCAAAAATATTTTTGTTTTTAAAAAAAGTAAGTTAAATTTTGAATTAAAAAAAATTTGCACTATTCGAAAGACAAGGAAATCTTAAGAAACATCTCCTTTGATAAATGCACTTTGATTTTTTTATTTCAAATGATTATGTTACGAGTTACAGCGTACACCGCAAATCAACTTTTTTGGAGGCTCTTGAGAAAAATCACATTACCTCGCCCAATTCTCAATATTTTTTAATGAAAATTTAAAGAAATATTGTTCAAATGTTGCAATATTGTATGCAAAGTGATAAAATAACTCTCTCTGTATCGTCAAAAAAAATTCTTAAAAATATGCATTTTTTCCACCCAATAAACCTTACTCCCCCTTAAGTCTTTAAGATAAAAATTATTAATGTTGAGGTGATAATCATTATTATTTATAAGTAATTTTTGGTAGTTCTATAAAGGAAAAATTTCAAAAACTTTATGAATAATTTATTGGATGACATTCTTTGAATATTTCTAAAGAGAATCAGAGTATTCAGGTAAAATAATATTTATTTTTAACGATTTGATAATGAATCCACGAAAAAGTCAATTGTTTCCATACAAAAATACACATAAAAATTCATAAGCTTTGTGAAAATATTAAATATTAATTAAAATCTAAATAAAAAAATACGTATTTTTTCTATTTGTAACAATATTATTAGAATTGAAAATGATCAAAATTCGTAAGTTTTACTTTTAAGGCGAGTGTAATAAAAAGAGGTCAATTAGACTTTAAATAAATTAAATTTGCAGACTTCGCACTCGATAATTAATTTTAAAAAAGTAGCTTTCTATCTAAAGAAAAGTAATAAAAAAGTAGCTATCTAAAAATGAAACTTGACCAAAAAACTCGTTTTAGACACTTCACGAAAGTTACAAAAATTCCATTCAATATTTTTTATTTTTCTGACTTTTTCCTAATTTTCATCAAAAATATTAATTTTTTTCTTATCCTGCTAATAAATTGAATTCCTGCAATGAATTTGATTATAATTTTTGAGAATATTTTTTTTATTTATAGTATTAGCGAATTTAAAGTAGTGAAAATTTTCAAAAAAACAGAAATAGTAGCTTACAGTGGATAAAATCTGAAAAAAATATTTAAATAGTAGCATAACGTAAAAAATAGTACATACTACTGTATTAAAATTAGTAATATAATAACTACATAAATTCTGAAGATCAAATATTTTGAATAATTTTTTGTTTTTCTCACCTCTGAGTCGTCTTTTAAAACTGGAAACGACTGAATCCATAAGATCCCCAATGAACTTTAGAGAAGTAAACAGCTCTTTCGGATTCTGTTCCACAATATTTCATTTAAAAACTTGATGTGAGCAGTAACGATAAGAACATCGTGTAGTCGTATTTTGACATTCTTCCAATTTGTGTAACATGGTCCGTAAATGCTTGTAAACCAAATGAACAAGGACGCACGTGTGGAAACTCTAACCATACTTGATCAACGATAATATCTAAAAACATTGAACAAATTCCATAATTGTAACTTTTATTTGTAGATTTATAGAAACTAAATTACTTTTATACTCTTCCTAGTTTTTTATTACATTAATTGTGTAACTCGCGAGAACAAATAGAAAATTTACTGATAAAAATTCCATTCAATATTTTTTATTTTCCTAATTTTCATCAAAAATATTTACTTTTTCTTTGTCCTTCTAATAAATTGAATTTCTGCAACGAATTGTACTATATTCATGAAAGAATTAAAATATTTATAAAAATAATTTAATTCATTTGAAGAATTTTATAAAATTTTTTAAATAATTCATTTCTTTCTACTTTCAAATTTTTGACAGTAATTGAATACGTGCGAACGTTTTTATTAGAATTTTTTAAAATAATTGTAATTCCAATAAAAAATTTATTACTCTTAAAAATAATTGAATTCTTGTGATGAAAATTGTTATATATGAAAATAATTGAATTTTGCAAAGAATTTTATTAAAGTGCTACAAAATAATTGAATTTTCAGAAATAATTTTGTTATTTATCGACATAATTGAATTCTTTCGAAAAATTTTTTATGTAAATAATAAAATTCTTGGGAAGAATTTTATTCAAATCTAATGAATTAAAATTGTATTTAACCCTTTGAGGACCAGTGTTGCTTTCAGGCAACATGACAGTATTCTATTAACTCGTGCATAAATTTCTTAATTTTTAAAACTGAATATTGAAACAATAATTTTCACATAGTCTGAAACATTTCGTATGACAAATACTGGTCTCCACAAAAAAACTTCATTTCAAACAAGTTTATTAAAATATTTAAAAATATTAATTGAATTCTTAAGAAGATAATTTTATTGTTTATGAAAACAATTGAATTATTGCGAAAGATTTATTAAAATATTTAAAAAGAATTGAATTTCAAAGACAAATTTTGTTCTTTTTAAAATATAATTAAAATTTTTATAAGAATTTTATTATATTGTTTTAAATAATTAATTTTTTTGAAATATAATAAATATTATAGAAATTTTCTTTTTAATAATTGAATTCTTTATTTGTGAAACTAATTGAATTTTTCGATTAATTAATATAAAATAGTATTAAAAATAAATGAAATTCTTCAATAAGTTTTATTATTTATGAAATTAATTGAATTCTTGCTTATAATTTATCAAAATTTTTTTTTATTTATTTATTTATTTATAGATTTATAGAAACTAAATTACTTATACTCTTCCTAGCTTTTTATTACTTTAATTGTGTAACTCGCGATAACAAATATAAAATATGCTGATAAAAATAGAATTTTTTATATGGTTATGTTAAAATTTCATTTGTTTATTTTTAAACATATTTTTAATAATATTAAATTTTTATTATTATTTTAAAATAAACCATAAAATTTTAATTTAAAAAACCCTCCAAGATTAGAAATTAGAATTAGCACAATGTAATATAATATTTCTTTGAATACTAAAAACCAAATGGAAATATTTAAAACTATTTTTTTTCTCACCTCTAAACACACATCTCTAAAATTGGAAGATTTTTTCCTGAATGTTCTTCTTACATGCGTCCAGTAATGTTCCCGTCAGCTTTCACTGAACTTTTATTCATGTAAAAGTTTAGAATCTCTTCTTCAACATTCACTTAAAAATTTACTGTCACTTTATTTAATAATATCAACAAGAACTTAGAAAATTGTGAGATTATTCCAATTCTATAAAATATGACGCGGAAACCATGAATTCACGTAAATATTCAAGAACAAAACACATAGCTCAACACGTTATTTATCAGTTATTTACGCACGTGAGGAAACACTAACCTTACCTGTTCCATACCGCGTGTATTGCAGGTTTACCAACTACCACTATGACACTCACTCAATATCATTCTGTTAGATCTAGCCTATCACGATTAACCCAGAGCTAATTCTGAAAACAGCGATTGAAAAGCATTACTTGATTGGTCAAAGTATCGCGGGCTTATTTAAAATAATTTATTCCTGAAAAATGTTTTTAAATAAATAAATAATAAATAAAATGTTAAAATATTAATTATAATTATGATTAATACTAATATTTAATTAAATGATAAAATGTATTGTTATACTAAAAGTAATTTATTAATGATGACCGTAACTGCTGATTTGCTGGTAGACAACTTCAGAGTATACTTTAGAAAAGATAAACAAATATAGAAGTCACTTCGACGAAATATTATTTTTGAAATTAGAGGAAAAATGAGCAACAACGAAAACCGTTTCTTTTTGTTAGATTCGTTTATTGAAAACGGTTGGTTTTATGTGGTTAGCAAATCAGCCATCTTAGTAACCGACGAAATGGAAATAAAAATCGGGGAAAAAGTTCAATTTGCGTACCCCGAAGATGTTGTGCAGCCAAAAATAGGTTAGTATTTTTTCATATACTTATTTAATTTACAATATTTTAAGTTTAATACAAAATGCAAAAACTACAGTACCAGACATAATTTTCTGTACCCTTTTATTACGACTACAAAATTATTTTAATAATTGTAGAAGATATAAACAATAAAAATTTTATCTTTTAATTTTCTAAAAGCTGATAAAATTGCGAAAAAAGGATACCTGGCGAAAAAGGTTGTGTTAACTTTTCTGTTATGAATGAAAAAAATCGAATATTACATGTTTCTTTTTTAATTATTAAATTTCGACCGAAATAATAAGTTTTTTATCGTTTGACTATATTCACATTTATTTGATTTTTAAAAATAATTTTCTTGTTAACGTGAATTTTAATTTTTTCAAGTTTTTTGATTCTATACACTTCAATAGATCGCATAACAGAAAACGAGAATTAAAATATATACAAAGCAAGAAACAATAAAATTTATTATTTTGATACCATTTTGTGCATGAAGTGTAAAAAATTTTCCGAAATTATAAAAATATGTAATTGCTTATAATTATTGTAAACAAAAATATTTTCAGAATCTGACGAATACCTAATAGAAGAAATGAATAAAAAAATAGAGGAAATTGAAAAGAAGGATGTGACTAGAGAAGAGTTGAAAGAACAGGAGAAACTAGAGTACGAAGAAAAGAGGTTGAGGTTAGTTGAGAAAGCAAGAAAGGGGAATATCGCGATGGCAATAGAACTCGAGAAAGAGTTAAGTCCTAAAGAGGAAAATAAAAATTTATTAAATATAATTGATGAGGCCTTGACGCTGACAGAAAAAGGAAAGGCAGAACTTACAAAAATTAATAAGGTTATATTACTTATACATAAAAATAATTTAGTTTCGAAAATAAAAAGTCGATTAGTTTAATAGTTTTCCATTTTTTCTACCGATATGACTAATTATTATTTCCCTTGAAAAATGTCATTTTAGCAGTTTAAAGAGAATTACGAATTTTGTTCTTTCTCTTGTAACAAAAAGTAAAAGATAAAATACATGACTCGTTAAAATGTGCAAATGACAGTTTGCTGGAAAAAACATGATTGTCGATAATATCAAAAGACAAAGTTAAAGGCAAAGTAGTTTTTTACAACTTAGATAATGCGAAACATATTAATTATAATTATTAAAAAAAATTTCTTTTCAGAATCTGTCAAAATGGATGGAATAAAACGAAAATTAACTGACGTTAAAAGAAGTATTTTTGTCATCAATGTTTATTTTAATTATATAAAAATTCAATTAAAAATTTTACTTCGAAAAAAATTAATAATTTTTTATTTTCATTTTATATTACATCTATTTACTAAAATTAAAAACAATATCAGCTAGTTTCAAAAAAGGTGAAAAAGGTCATTAAAATTGTAATAAAACTTTTCTTTTTGCTGTAAGTTTGCAAAAACAAGAATGACTTCGTGTGAGTTAATTTCCAAGAAGAAGATGATCAATATACTAACCTGTAAAGCCTGATTTCATTATATTATTATAAATTTTCTGTAAAAATTCTACCGAGCAACTACGCGGAGTTTTTTTTAAATAAGGTTAAGTTCCACGTAGAAGTTAATCAACAGTGACCTGGGCTGTTATTAACGTTGTGTTTAACCTGGATAGCTGAATATCACTAGGTGACTTCCTCGTATTCTCTTTTGGACCATTGTGGTTCATTTCCTCCAAGAATTTGACCAAAACCGTTTTGAACATCCGGATAACACTAGGTGACTTTCTGGTATTCCATTTTTATTAAATGAGGTCAACTTCCTCGTATAAGTTGATCAAAAGTGACCTGGTCATCCGGTTATTACCAGGTGACTTCCTGGTGTTCTATTTTTGACTATTGTGGTTAATTTCCTCGAAGAATTTGACCAAAACCGGTCTGAACATTCAGAAATCACTAGGTGACTTCCAGGTGTTCCATTTTTGTCAACTTCCCCGTAGAAGTTGATCAAAAGTGACCTAGACATCTGGATATCACCAGGTGACCTCCTGGTTCCCTTTTGGACCATTGTAGTTAATTTCCTCGAAGAATTTAACCAAAACCGGTCTGAACATTCAGAAATCACTAGGTGACTTCCAGGTGTTCCATTTTTGTCAACTTCCCCGTAGAAGTTGATCAAAAGTGACCTAGACATCTGGATATCACCAGGTGACCTCCTGGTTCCCTTTTGGACCAATGTGGTTAATTTCCTCGAAGAATTTGACCAAAACCGGTCTGAACATTCAGAAATCACTAGGTGACTTCCAGGTGTTCCATTTTTGTCAACTTCCCCGTAGAAGTTGATCAAAAGTGACCTAGACATCTGGATATCACCAGGTGACCTCCTGGTTCCCTTTTGGACCATTGTAGTTAATTTCCTCGAAGAATTTGACCAAAACCGGTCTGAACATTCGGAAATCACTAGGTGACTTCCTGGTGTTCCATTTTTGTCAACTTCCCCGTAGAAGTTGATCAAAAGTGACCTGGTTATCCGGATATCACCAAGTGACTTCCTAGTGTTCTCTTTTGGACCAATGTGGTTAATTTCCTCCAAGAATTTGACCTAAACCGGCCTGAACATCCGGACATCACTAGGTGACTTCCTGGTGTTTCATTTTTGTTAAATGAATTTAATTTGATAAAAATTGGTGACCTATACTGACCTGGATATCATTTGGAGACTTCCTGGTGTTATCTTTTGTCAAATCATGTAACTTTCTCAAAGAATTACAAAAAATCAACTTTCCCGGAAAATTCCGCAAAAATTCTGCGGAATTCCCGCGGAGCCACTCCGCGGAGCCACTCCGCGGAGCCACTCCGCGGAGTCACTCCGCTGAGTTTCCGCGAATATTACTGGTAATCTTTTCACATGGGAATGAATTACTAATAAATAATAAGAATAAATAAAACTACTGATAAAATATTTTTTTAAAGGGGTTTTACCTAGTTACGATTTTCAAAAAATCATTTTTTTGCAGTCTTTTAAAGTACATATATTTGCCTGTTGTAAAAAATTTTTTATTAACATTCGAAGAATATTTTTGAAGTTACATACAAAATTAACAAGGCGGTGCGGTGAGGTGCACAGAAGTTTGTGAAACTTTAAACTCGTTTTTCTCAAAACTTCGTTTTTTCAGTCGGTGTACATGATATCTTAAAAACCGCTTTAACCGATTTGGCTTAAATTTCATTTTTTTGACATTTTTAACTGAAATGTCCCCTTAATCGAAGGATTTTTAAATAAAATTCAAATTATTAATTTAAATAAAAAAATTTAAGACTATTTTTTTATGAAAAAATGTTTTTTAAGAAGCTGCCATTTTGTGAAAAAGTGATATTTTTTAATTCCTTTGATTAAGGACAGCATTTTCTCATTATCAAACAGAATCTATTTTACTTTTTGATTTCTAATGATTCGGTCAAAAGTTATGTTGGTCACCACGAAACACTTTTTTTCGAGGACCCTTAGGAAGCGGAAAATAATTATTAATTATTCACTTATAAGTGCCACAAAAATTAATATTTTTATAAATAAAAAAAAAATTTTAAATACAGTAAAAGATGTGTAAATATATATGAAAACTCTCATTTTAAAAAATAAATAAACCTATGAAAAAATACAAAAACTTGCATTTTTCAACCGCCTAAATAGGTACAACCCTTTAATAGTAAACAAGAATCATTTAATAATTAAAGAATATAATTTAAAGAAATTTCCTTTTAATAAAAAAGGAATTCCTCTCAGACAAATATTAAAATAAAAATTAGCTTATAGTAAAAGGATTCCTTTTTACTTAAATAGATTGTTTTGTGAGCATAAAACAATTATACCCAAGAAAATTTTTTTTGCCATAGTTATGAAAAAGTGTCTTTTTGGGATCTGTTTTTTTACGACAGTTGTCCAGAACTGCCTTATGGCAGTTTATTGAGATTGAAATTTATATTGAGACTAATATAGAGATTAATATTGAGATTGACAGATTGAGATTGGGATTGAAAGATTGAATGATTGAGATTGAAAGATTGATTAATTGAAAGATTGAATTATTGAATGATTGAAAGATTAAATGATTGAAAGATTGAATTATTGAAAGATTGAATGATTATATGATTGAGAGTGAGAGATTGATATTAAGAGATTGAAAGATTGAATGATTGAAAGATTCAGATAGAGATTCAGATAGATGATTCAGATAGAGATTGAATGATTGAGAGATTGAGATTAAATGATTAAAAGATTGACAGATTGAAATTGAGATTGAGAGGTTCACTTTTTCATATCAATGGCGATAAAAATAGCGTATACCTGAAATATTTCTGGTATGTGTATGTAAACAAGCTGGACCAGGCCCGAGCTCGGCCGGAATCCGAACTGACTAAGTCCGTCCTGTCCCAAAAAGTGAAAAGCCCGAAATAACCCGATTGGGTTTCGGGCTTTTTACACACCTCTAATATATATAAAAATATAAAATATATTTATAAATGATAATAAAAATTTGTTATAGGTGGATAGAGCCATTTTGGACATCTTGAATAGGAATGAGATCTCAATAAAATTATTGTTAACCGATATGCACGGAAAGCTTTTGTAAAAACATCACAAATATGATATCATTCAATCTTATTTTTAAAAGAACCATGTAAATAGCATTTCCTTTATAATTCTATTTTTGTAATTAACTCTTGTTACTTTCAGAATTCTGATAGCGATAATGGAGAAGACCAAGAGTCATCATTAGCTACAACATTGTCTGTATCGACGGAACTTCGAAGTGATACTGATTTGGAAATGGAATCAAGTGAGTCATTAAATACCGTGGCAACAGTTTCTGAAAGAAATTCATCTTCATCAGTTTTAAATCAAGACTTCGATGGTTTTGATGTTTCAGTGGAACATAGAAGTTTTTCGAGCTCTTCTTTTTCCACTCACTTTTCCTTTCGGTCTTCGTCATTGTCATCATCCTCATCATCATCATTATTAAATTCATCATCTTCAGCTTCTTTCCTGTCTGTAAGGTCTGCTTCTTTTTCAAATGAATCACTTCAATCGACATCGCAATCCTCAATTTTGACAACAAACGATGATAACAGCTACAGTGATAATAATATTGAAAGTGATGACAATGAAAATAGTTGTCTCGATAAAGCTATTTATCAAAATGCTAATATCAATGGCGGTAATGCTTTAAATCATATCTTACAAGTTTATGTTTCGAACCGGTTGACTAAAAAAGCTTTAAATGACATTTTAAACTTAATTTATTTATTGTTCCAAAAACAACACTTCCAAAAACGAAATTTAAATTCTTAAAATTACTCGATAAAATTTTTCCCGACGCTGATTCTAATTACACAACTAAGCATAGGATATGCTCAGATTGTTACAATTATGTAGGAAAATGGTTAGATACATTAAATACAAGAAGTTGTCTGCGTTGTAATAGTGGAAATTTAAATAGTTTCTTTTTAGAATTCAATATTGAACAAGAACTACGTACTGCCTTTGAAGTGAGAGATTTACACATCCTAATCGATGCTTTTCAAACAGAGTGTTCACAAAGAAATCAGGAAAATATTTCTGACTTCATTTTTGGTTCTGAGTACCGACGATTGAAATCAACTGCTATACCTGGTAAATATGATTTGAGCTTAATTTGGTTTACTGATGGAGTTCAGATCTCAAAAAGTGGACGAAGTCAAATGTGGCCAATTTATGCTCAAATTATGAATGTAGCACCAAGGTTTAGAAGGAGTTTCCAATTTGTCTGCGGGATATTTTACTCAAACCGTTGCACTAAGAAACCTGAAATGAACTCATATCTGCTGCCTTTTGCATCAGCTTTACAAAACTTATTTACAAATGGGTTTGAATGGAAGCATAGTACGTTAAATTGTATTCTTAAAAGCAAAGTAATTGCTCCAATCGCATGTTTAGATGCTCCAGCAAGAGCAGCTGTACAAAATCTAATGTATTACAATGGAGAGTACGGTTGTTCAAGCTGTGAAATAAAAGGTTTGAGTAGTGAAACTGGTGCTGGCTCAAATTGGGTATTCCCAATATCTTCTGAGCAGCCGCACCTATGAACTGCTGAAAGAATGGAAATTCAAACGACTATTGTACAGAGGTTTGAAAATCTAAAACATTTTAGAGGTGTTAAAGGCAGCTCAGTAGTCACAAACATACCTCATTTTGACAGATCTAAAGGATTTGTTTGTGACTATATGCATGCTGTTCTGCTTGACGTGACGTTAATGTTTTTAAATCTGTGGTGTAATTCGAATAATTATTTAGAAGAGTATTATTTGTCTAGGGAAATAAGAGGCCAAATTAATAAAATTTTAGAGAGAATTACACCACTCGATGATATAACTCGTACTCCTCAAAAATTATCTCAGCTGGGTGATTGGAATTTTTTCGAAACGTGTTTAAATTTTTTAAAAAATTAAAGTCTTCCGAGGAATTTAATTACAATTGTTGTGAAAATAATTAAATTTTTGTGTTTTTTTTACTGTTAAAAAAATAATTGAATTGTTTAGAAGGTTTTATTAAAATTTTTGAAAATTATTGAATTCTTTCGTGAAATTATATTAAAATTTTTTAAAATATGAACAGTAATAATTAATGTTGTACTTAATAAGTGAATTTTTTAATTTTGATTATGAAAGTAATTGAAAAAATTTATATTAGAAAATAAACAACAAAATTTTTCTCATAAAATCAATTTTTGTAAGGAATTTTAATAAAATTCTTATCCAAAATTTAATTATTTTGATAAATATCAAAATTTATCACAAGAATTCAATTCTTTTGAAAAGTAATAAAATACTTTGCAGAAATTAAATTATTTTCAATTTTTTTTTTAAATTTTCGTCAAGAATTAAATTATCTTTATAAAGAGATAAGGGAGAGTGGGTCAAGACGGGGTACTTAAGGTTTCAAGCGCAAAAAACGAAAATTATCGAATATATATTTTATTTTTTTATTTAATAACCATCTTTGGATATCAGTCTTTCGTACTAAAGGCGTACAAAGGCCATCTGTTTCATAAAAAATCATAAAATTAATAATATTGAAAAAATTGCAAATCTCACCATCCTGCTCTACTGGTGGGTAAGATGGGGTACTAATAAAGCAACATATTCCCTAGTAGAAATTTGTCCTAGTTATTATAAAGGAATTGGCTAGTCGTGCTTTAAATTATCTATAATTACTTTACTTGCCAACTGGCTAAATAACTGGAATAGAGTCAAATTAATCCTTTTAAAGTACTGAAAATTTGTTTAATATTAAGATTTATTGTAATTAACACATTTATTTCACGCAATTAATAGGAGTGGATGGGGCAAGGATAGTTAGGTAAGACCTTTTTGGATCTAGCGGCCAAATTTGAATATGTATCTGCAAACGAAAATTATTTTTAGAAAGCCTGATTATTTGGCTATAATTTTGCAATAGATTATTTTACTGTAGACACAAATCCCTACGAGATACGAATGAAAAAGTAAACGAAATTTTTAACTATCCTTGCCCCAGCACAGGGGCAAGTATAGTTAAAGAATTCAAATGTTATAAAAAATCAGTAGAGTTTCGTTAACTTTATTTTATTTGATTTAGACTATTCAATATTGATATCTGAAGTATTAAAAATATGTTTTTGAACATTTTCTTAATTTTAATTATTGCATTAAAATTCGTCTCAACTTGAATCTCAGTTTTAACAAATTTTCTTTAGACAACTACCATTTTGTTGGTCAATAAGCTTTGTTTTCCGTATATAATTACGCACTATTATGTATATCAGCCTAAAAAGAACAATTAAACAATCTTTGCCCGTGGGGGAAAAAGGACCCATATTTCAATTTTTCCTAATTTTTTGTAAAACGACGTGAATGTAATTGAAAATAAGAACGATAGAACTCCAGAAAACATTTACGTAAATAAATATTCGGAAGCACTAATAAAGAAAACAATGTGATAACACGTGACAAAGATTCCGTTGACATTTTTAAAAAACAGGTGTTTTTAAAAATAAACTCCTAACTTCGCAAATGGTGTCAGATTGGCTTCCAATTTTTATTATCATCTGTTGGTGTTAAGACTCGAAAATATCATGAATGACGCGCTAATTTGAACAAACCGTTTAAGCAATACAGTCACTAACTATCCTTGCCCCCTTGCCCCATCCTCCCCTATAAAAATTCTATTTAGCACCAAAAACATACAATAAAAATAGTTTTTAAAAATTTCTGTATCCATTATAATGTATACATAATAAATGGAATACAATAAAAAATTATATATTAACATTTTATAATTTTTAATTAATTAGTTGAATTATTATATAAAAATATAATGGAAATAGTAAATTATTACATGTGATTTCCTACATTACTTTTTGATTTTTAATTCAATTACAAAAAAATTCTAAATTCGAATATTCTAAATATTTACTGTTTCCAAACAACTTTAATTTTTTTAATGCACTATTATTAACAATAACACTGAAACAAACATTTTTTATTGCTATAAACATTATAATCTATATAAACCTTGAAAGAATAACGCAATTTCATCGAAAAAAATCTTTAGGGGTAATGGGGATCGAATTTGGGTCCCGCTGGACTAAAGTCGCACGTTTAACGCACTCGAACGTTCAACGCAGTAAATGCTGAGGATTAAGAACCACACATGTTTCAGTTCAGTGCCGTAACTAGAGATTTAAGCATTGGTATATACTTTTAATATTTTTTATGTAATTAAACATTTTATGTTTCTTAATTATTATAACGTTTTAGTAATTTAATTTGCAACGTTAACAATTAATAAATAAATTGATTACTGTAATAAAATTTTTAATTAATTCTATTGATTTCTTATAAATAGGGGAGAGTGGGGCAAACCGGCACGGTGGGTAAACCGGTCAGGTGTCAATATCTCTGAAATGGCGAGATTGTCAAAAGTTCTATTTAGAAATTTGAAACAACCATGTGTAGTATACCTAATTTTTCAATTTGGCAATTTTTACTTTTGTTTGTGCAACGCTGGGAGAAAAAGTTTTTTTAAAGTATTTTCTACACTTTTACGAATTTTTTCTTAAGGAAATTCTAAAGAAATCGTATAATATTTCCAAATATTAGGTCTTGGGTTTTGAAGGTACACACCTCAGGAATATTTACCACCAAAAACTTTGATGAATTTGCAAAGCGTTTCTTTTAAACAAATATTTATTCTCAAAATGAGCCTGTGGAGCAAAGAGGCCAGTTTTCGGTGGGGCAAACCGGCCATAGGATATTTTCATTGTATTAGAGTTTTAAGAAAATTATTATTATTAATTAGAATGTTTCTTTCATTAAAATATTTACTGTCAATGAAAAATAATTGTTTTCCAATGAGAATTAGACCCTTTAATATTGTTTCTCTGATAATTTCAAACATTTTTTTTGTTATTTAAAAAAATTATTTATTTAATTAAAATTTGATCCTGTATTATTATTTACATTATTACAAGCATTGTTCACATGATTCTATATGTTTGTTGTTATTGTAGATTATTATACAAATGCAATATTACAGATAAGAAAACCCAAGTGACCGGTTTGACCCATGGGGGTGGCCGGTTTACCCCAGGGGGTGGGGCAAACCGGCCCGTTTGCAAATTTTTTTCAAGTTAACCCAGAAACTATCCATTTTAATAATTTTTACATTCTCATCATATGAGAAAGTATTAGTTTTGGTCGAAAATTGACTTTCGCTAATTTCATGAAATCTCGACGTTTTGGGGTCCCCTGAACCCAAAAAACATGGTCCGGCGATGGTGTCTGTCTGTTCGTCTGTCTGTCTGTCTGTCTGTCTGTCTGTCTGTCTGTCTGTAGATCAAAAATTTTGTTCCCACGATAACTCTTGAAAAACTTATCCGATCGTTTTTAAATTTTACACACTTAAAGTTGGTGCAAAAATGAAGGCCAAGTTCGTTAACCAGCCATTTTTGTTAAAAAATACGAAAACTACAGTACTTTCAAAATTTTGAAAAATCAATTTTTTCAAATTTTCAAATTTTTATTTGCATATTACGATAGCTTAGGAAAATACAAACAACTTTTCTCTACAACATTTTTTCATAAAAAGTCAAATTTCAGAGTTATAGGATCTTAAATGGTCAAAAAAACTAAAAAATCCCAAAATAACTCTAAAAATCAAAATATTTTCAAAGAATTAAAAGTAACTTTAACTATTTTTACATAGTCTCACCCAAATAAACCCAAAAAACATATTTATAGACATAAAACTCTCAATTTCTCGAAAAACCACTGTATATATATATATTTTATTATTTTTTTGGCAAAAAATCGATATTCCGACTCAATTATCTCCGAATCTATTCCATATGGAACCTTGCTACTAGAGACTTTTTTTCTCGTCTCATCCTCAGCTACAACTTTGCTGTAGACACCATTTCGCCAAACCCTATACTTTTCGAGTTATTTTCAAAAAAAGTAATTTTTATTACATTCTCATCATATGAGAAAGTATTAGTTTTGGTCGAAAATTGACTTTCGCTAATTTCATGAAATCTCGACGTTTTGGGGTCCCCTGAACCCAAAAAACATGGTCCGGCGATGGTGTCTGTCTGTTCGTCTGTCTGTCTGTCTGTAGATCAAAAATTTTGTTCCCACGATAACTCTTGAAAAACTTATCCGATCGTTTTTAAATTTTACACACTTAAAGTTGATGCAAAAATGAATGCTAAGTTCGTTTACTAGCTTATTTCTTCAAAAACTACTTTTTTTTTTTTTAAGTTTTTGGGTCAGTCAGCTTAACTGTGTTAAAAAAATTTCTATTGATTTTGTAAAATGTTATAACTTTTATAAAAATCCGTAGTTAACAACTAATCAAAAAGCACGTTAAAAGTTTTTTAAAATTTTGTTTTTTCCATGAATAAAAATTACTACATTTTTAAAAATGATTAATACACGGAGAGAGATTTTGTATTAATATTTGTTAAAATTGGCAATAGAATTTAATATATTCTTTTTCAATTTATTGAAATCGTGTTTTATATTAAAAATTAATATTGTGCATATTAG